CAGGATGAGATTGTCTTGGGTTGGTAATTGATGGGGGAAACTCTTTAATCTGGCCAAGTCCCGTATTTGTAGTATTCCTTTGATGGTGCTGATATTACAAGTTGGGTTTTTTTATTTTATTTTATTTATTTTTTATCTTCACTCAGTCGTTACCGACTCTGCAGTGACTGCTTTTGGACGAGTCCTTTGCAGTTTTCAAGGCAAGGTGTTTAATAACTAAAATCTGTTCATCCAACTGCTGCTGAAAATCTCATTGCCAATTCTCTGTTTGGATCATGTTGTTTAAACCCCACAATACTGTAGGCATAAATATAAGCAAACAAAGAAATGTAGCAATCGAGTAAGAAATCACTCGGCTTAAGTATTAATTTAACTCAGGTTCTCCCATTTACCACTAGATGTCATGTGAATACAGTTAGTGGTTTTTGGCTGTCCCGATTTTGATCAGTAGATATTTACAGTAATTATGAACCATTATTTTGATTTCCTGTTGTAATGATTAAGGCTCCATTGCTTAATTAGTCAAACAATTAGATAGACTGCTTTAAAAATGAATTGTCTAATATAGGAATCTAAGAAATACTGTAGCTGTCCTTGTCAAAACTATGACCTAGTTCTTGTTATGATAAATCATGTTTGGTTTAACCCTGATTAAGTTTACACAATGTACCAAGCTGATCATCATAATTCACTTTGGGAGGATTTTTGCTCTATAAAGCTGCCTGAAAAGAATTGTAAGAAATAAAAGGATGTGTTTTTTCTTTAATGTTGTTTTAATGCGACAAGTGAACCTAGATGAGCTCTGGTAGCTTTTAATATTGTTTCTTTTCTTTATTTATATTTCAAATTTGTCACCACCCATTTTGCTGCAGAGTGACTCTGGGCGGTTTACAGTAAAAAGAATAAAAATTAAAATAGAATTATGCTTTATTGTTGTTGAGAACCTCTCAGAATTACTGTATATAAGATGGGCCACCATGTAAGTCTTTTAAATAAATAAATTACAAATATGAGTTTGATCACAATGCATGTGTAAAATGCAGTTGCCGGTTTTCTTATGGGCCATGTTCTAATGCCTTTAAAAGCAGGTTCTGCCCTCCTTGCCTGTATTTTGAATAGTAACAATGGGCAAAAATGACTGATCTAAAATTGTGCTGATCCGGGGGCACCAAGTATGTAAAAATTCTGTCTTTCTTTCCACTGTCTCATATTTAACACCAATCTGATAAAAACCTTCACATACTATTTTTTTTTCTTTCAGTTTATTCCCCAGCCAGAGAAAACGAGACAAAAATCGATAATCTATCAGGTTGCTTAGTATAAATGAAACAGCCAAGATTAGATTAAGAAAGGAAGTTCTTGGGATAGGCAAACTGCAGCAAAGACCAGCTCTCCAGCTCTTTTAATAACAAATTTTGCCTGATCCTTTGGGGTTCCCCAAAGTTCTGAGCTTGTAGCTGCATCTTTTTTGCAGACAGCCCTCCCCCAAAAAGCTGATCTTTGACTGTAACAGAAAGCCGTTTTGTTTGCTCATCCCAATAATTCCATTAAATCCAAATGAGCGGAAGCTTTCCTTATCAACAGTATTTCAAGATGACCCACTTCTTCCTCTTAAGTATATGGCATTCTAAGGTTGTCCTTTGGTAGATCCACGTATTTTGGGGGGAGCAGGAGGGGGAATTAAGCCTGGGCTTGTACTATACACTAAGACATAAAGCCTCCTTTATGCTTAGCTTAATTTTTGGTTCCTTGCTGGACATACCTATGTAGCATTCTCGGGGACAGTACAGTGGTTTACTGTTACCTTTTTTTAAAGTTTTCCAGCCCGGTCTGAAGTTGCAGGATTTCTTTTTGATCTCCCATCCAAATACCAAACAGGTTTGACCCTGCTTAGCTTGAAGCTGGTACCTCCTGAGTCCTCAGCCCAGACTAATGGAACACTTCTAGAGAAAACTGTATTAGAAGAAATCTTTGCCAACATCTGTATCATGCTTGAAAAGGACCTCCTCAGGAACACTCAGCTTCTGAAATTATTTTCCTGGTGAGTCCTTCTTTGTCTTATTTTAAAATATTCTCCTCTCATCAACCTGAGACTTTATTCAGACAGACCTTTGGCCTGGAAAAATGATGGGATTTTGCAAATGTGTTTAACTAGATGCTATTTTATTGATCCATGACTTAGGTGTTGTTTGCTCCACATTTACTGAATGGTTTGATTTTTAAGCTACTCATTTAAAGTTGGTACTCCAGGTAGAGAAGAGACCAACTAGAAGATGTGATAGCCAAGACGAAATGTGAAAAGTAACACAGTAATCAAGATTTTTTTTTAGCGGCAGTAAAGATATAATAAAAATAGCATTAAAATCACACCAGCAGATGTGTGTGTACTGTATTGTCACAGGAACCAAATGGAATCCTCAGTTGGAAGAGAGGAATACATGTTTACTATTTATTTACTTAATGTTGAATAAAGGCACATGAAACCCTCAGCCAAGGCTAACAAAACCCCATAATAGCTGTTTTCACATTATGCACCATGTAAAATACCTGTGATATGCTTCATTGTGGTTTTTCTGTTATTTTCATTTTGCTGTTGGCTATTTTGGGTGACACCTTCAGAACAGTGGGATGTAAACTGAATGGCTTGGCACAGTAGAATAGTCTGAGCTAAAATGGGGTAGGTTGGCTGATTGTGGTTCTGGGTGTTGTGAGAACTGGCTGGCATCTTAAAGCCCGAACTTGCTTTTTTTTTTTAGCTGTCACACGTGAAATGAATCGAACAAACCACTGGGTTTGTTATCCTGGGTAGAAGATTT